AGGCATAAGGAAAGTACAGGTAGTTGCCTATGGAATACCTATAAGAAACCCTGATGCTTTGGGTAGAGTGTTCTATAAATGTCTATTAAATCCTGTTGGTTGATACTATTATTGAGTTCTTCTTATTCTACCTTGTTCTACCAGTTGCCGAGAGGGGTGTTTAAGTATGGACCTGTGTTTGTAGATCTGTCTATTACTCCTTTCAGTTCTGTCGGTTTTTGCTTCACATATGTTGTAGCAATCTTGTTTGGTGCACACACATTTAGGACTGCTGTATCTTGGTGATAGATTGACCCTTTTGTTACTATTATGAAATGTCCCTCTTTGTCTCTGATCATTTCCTTTGCTCTGGAGTCTACTATCTGATGCACGTTTCCTCTGCTATCCGAGAGTAGAGCCCCCTATGAAACCTTTCATGCGAGCAGTATCTCCTGCTGTCCAAAAGCTGTGTCACGCCACTTCGCTCGTATGGAAAACCATTAGTAAGGTAACTTTTTCTTTTTAAGTGAAAATCCTCTTTGGATTTCTTCTGGTTAGTGAAAACAGGTAACAATATAAGTATTTTGTAAAAGTGAAGTGGTATAACACGAACTTTTGGAAAGTGGGGGACACCTGTATTAACAGTCATTCCTGGTTCCTTTTGATCAATGTTTGCATGATATATATTTCCCCATTCTTTTACTTTCAAGCTACATAAATAATTTTATTTGAATTGAATTTTCTGATGATAGTATACAGTTACGTTTTTTAATCCACTCTGCTAATCTTTGTCTTGTAATTGTATTTATGCCATTTATATTTAATGTAATTATTGCCATGTTAGAGTTTGTACGGCAATGTATTAGTTGTTTTCTGGTTTTTATTTCTCTGTGTTCTTTATTTTGTCTTCTTATGTGTTACTGAATATGTTTCAGAATTCCATTTTTATTTACCTGTGGTGTTGAGTATCTCTTTGTGTAGATTTTATTTTATTTATTTTATGTTTTTTTTTTATCCTCACCCAAGGATATTTTTTCATTAATATTCAGATGGAGTGGGGTGGAGGGTAGAGAGGGAGAGAAACATCAATGTGAGAGAAACACATTGATTGGCTGCCTCCCACACCAATTCAACCTGGGCTGGGGATCAAACCTCAACTGAGGTATGTGCCCTTGACCGGATTCAAACCCAAGACTCTTCTGTCGACGGGCCAATGCTCCAACCACTGAGCCAAACCAGCCAGGGCTCTTTGTATAGATTTTAAAGTGGTTATTCTAGGTATTACATTATATATAGTGTCTATTGGTATTGACTTCTTACCAGTTCAAGCAAAATGTAGAAACCTTACTTCCCGTTTTTGTTCCTTTACCCTCCCCTATTTATAATTGTCTTAAATACTTCTTTTGTATACATTTAGAACCATATCAGTGTTATAATTTTTGCTTCAACTGTTAAACATAATTTAGAAATTTCCAGAAGAAAAGAAAAATGTAATTCCTTATTTTTTTCTATCTGTTGCTTTTTTCTCTCTTAATGTTTCAAGATTCCTTCTTTTTATCATTTCCTGTATGATTAGAGAAATTCTTACAGTGATTCTTTTATGATACATCTGATGGTTATAGATTGCCTTAGTTTTCCTTCATTGGAGAATGTCTTAATTTCCTCTTTTTTCCCTGAAGGATATTTTTTGCTGAATATACAATTCTGTATTTACAGTTCTTTTCTTTTTGCACTTGAAATACACGTGTTATTTCTTTTGGCCTCTAAAAACTGATGAGAAACCAGTTGTCACCCAAATAGATTTTTCTCTATAATTAATGTATCATTTCTCTCTGGCTACTTTCAAGACATTTCCTTTGTTTTAGCTTTCAAAAGTTTGGTTATAATGTGTTGTGTGGTGTGGTTTTCTTTGGGTTATTCCATTTTTGGAGTTCATCCAGCTTCTTGAATCTGTATGTTTATGTCTTTTGCCAAATTTGAGAAATTTCTATTTATACTGTTCTATCCTCATGTTTATGGATTCTTTACTCTGTCCCCTCCACTTTACTGTTGAACCTATCAACAGTAATTTTTAATTTTTAAAATTATTTCAGTTATTGCATTTTCAGTTCTAAAATTTCAAGTTTTTCTTTAAATCTCTTTCTTGACACTTTCTATTTTTTTCATTCATTTCAAACATGTTTACTATTTGCTCAATTGAAGCATTTTATAATGGATGCATTAAAATCTTTGCCAGATAATTCTACAACCTAGTCATTTTGGTGTTGGTATCTATTGTCTTTTGTGATTCAACTTGAAATTTTCTGGGTTCTTGGTATGACAAGAATTTTAACCAAACTATGGGCATTTTGGGTATTATGTCATGATACTCTACATCTTATTTAAACTTTCTGTTATAGCTTTTTTCTCACCTTCCCCCCAACTTCTCCAGAAGACGAAGTGGGATGAGGGGAGTTCCACCTCATACCTCCAGATAGGGTAGAAATCTAAGTTCTCCACCTGGCCTGTTGACACTCAAAGGATGGACGGGGTCCTCATTATTGCTTGGCAGGGGTAGGAATTCTGACTCCCCATTGGTCTTCCACTGTTACTACTCTGGCTGGCAGGGCTGGGGGTGTCTTGCTACTTCTCATATGACCCCCACTGATGTCACGGGGTGGTGGTAGCCCCGTTACTACTAAGCAGTGGTGAAAGTCCTGATGCCCCACTCATTCTCTTCCAGACACCTCCCTAGTAGGGAGAGAGAGAAATGCCTCATTACTGCTGAGTGGGGGAATCAGTCCAGGCTTTCCACTTGGCCTTTGTTGGCATGGGTGGGAATAAGACCAGTTTTTACTATGGTTCTTGGCTAGTTTAGAACAGTTATCTAAAAGTTTCTTTTAGAAAGTTTGCCATTTTCCTGGTCCTTTGGCTGCTGTCGGGACTTTTTTGGGTCTGCACCCATTTGTGTTTCTAGGTTCTGGCTCCAAATCTAGACTATATGTGGTAGAAAAAGAAAACCCAAAAGCACTCTCCATTGTGTTGTTCCTTGGCTCCAGGGTCCCTACAATCTGTTTTCTTCTTTACCTTTCAGAGTCTACTTATGTTTGTTTTACATATAATATACAGGGCTTTTAGTACATAGTAGGAGAAACAGGGCAAAATACATCTATGACATCTTCTCAGGAGCAGAAGTCCTTGAGAAAAAATGGAGTCCCTAATAGAGAAGGCTTTTTGAAAGCCTTTCTATAGAGTAAAAAGAAAAATATCAAAGAAGAAAAAAAATTTAATGGGAAATAAGATGAGTTATTGAAGTACGTATAAGTAGAGTAATCGTATATGTTTGCCAGAATTTCAAGTGATTTCTGTTTGGTCTCGAATAATTTCCAAAGGTGCACAGGCCCTCAGAGATGATCTAGTCTACTCTTGATCTGACCAATGATCAAGAACCAGAAAGGGGAAAGGACTAAATTGAGGCTACAGAGTGAGTCTGGGGCAAAACCAAATGAGAGTTGAAGGTTTCTGACTTGTAGTTAGTGCCATTTTCACAGATGGGGCTGTCTCTTTCTTTGCTATAATCTGAGGGAAAGATGAGGGGCTGGACCAGAAGTTCTTTTTTTTTGGTTCGTGCCCCTAGCGGGAACCGAACCTAGCACTCTTTGGTCCGCAGGCCGACGCTCCAACCACTGAGCCAAACCGGCCAGGGCTGGACCAGAGGTCTTTAAAGGACATCTCCAACTTTAGTCTTTGGTGATTTTTATGACTGTCCTGAACCTTGCATCCATTCTCCCTATCTTATCTTCTTCTACTGCTATGTTAAGGCTGAGCATACACAATGGGGGTTGGGTAGAAAATGAAGGGGAAAAAAAAAATCTACAAATACAGAAAATGTATTAAATTTCTATTTGTGATGACTGCTTCTTGCTACATATTTGGAAAAACACCTCCCATACAATGTGTAGCCTGTACAATCATGAAGGCAGGACTGTGACTTGGTCCTGGATTCTAATGCACATGACCTTGTGGCACTCGTAATGCAAGGTGAACGTGGTAATTTTACTCGGGAGTCCCGCATTTAAGATGAACCGGGACAAGCGACAATGGCAGCAGCTGTGGTGAAAGGAGGCCGACTGCCCGAGCTGGGACACCACTGACTAGCTGTGCGACTCGGGGCGAATCCCTGTACTGCTATGGACAGAGACATAACTTTTCTGTCCCTCAGTATCTTTACCTGTAAAACAGAACATTCACAATAATTAACCTTATTAGTGCTTCTGAGAAATATGGGTAAAATCTTAGAATGGTGTCATTAGCTGCTACCGCAACCATTGTTATTCATTGGAGGCCTCTTATAAATAAAAGACTAGAAAGACAATGTGCATATATTATACTTAATCCTAGAATAATCTTTAAGTAAGGATATTATCATCCTCATTTTATAGATTAAGAAAGTAGAATTATTTTATTATGAAAATCATTTATAAATACAGTACAGATTAGTATTAACTAAAAACACACGTTACATTTAATAAAAGTTTGAAGCCAAAAGTAGCAAAAACATTTCCTGGCACATTTAGAAAATATAATCAGCAAAGCAGTTATATTATCTGTGTTATATTACCACGACTAATATTTATTACTTTTTAAATTTAACCCTCTCTAAAAACATTTAAGGAGGAAAATTAAAGCAGAGACTGTTCACTCTACATGGATATTGGGCCTGGTTTCCTTGGGCTGGTTTTGCAAAGTTCTTAACAGGACTCTCAGGGTACACCCTGAGTCCCTGTGCAGAAGAATTCTTTCTCACCGTTCTGCAGCCAGAGTGGACAAATAGCAGGATAAGGTTTAAAATTAAAGCTGGAAGAGCCTTTTCTGTCTAACAGAACTCCCCTCACTCTAGTCTCATTTTATTTCTAGTTTTAAACTTCTGGAAGGAAAAAAATCCAACAATAATTCCTTGATTGAATTCATCCACCATCTGAGATTATTCTCTTAACACTTTCTGATACAAGAATAAACCCATACATTTTAAATGTGCTTACCAATGCAGAAAGGTTCCAACACATTCTGAACCAAAAATTCACCCCGCAGGTTCATCCTCTGAAGGATCATTCTCACAAACCAGGACTTGACTGTCTCCGGACATGGTTTAAGCAGTAAGTAGCTAGAAGCATAGAGAGCATATCGAAGCCAGCACAACAACGGAGTGGCGATCCTGCCGTTCGGTGACTCGGACATTCGCTCAATTGTTGGGAAGAGCAGAATGGAGCGAATTATCTGCAAAAGAAAGCATGTGTTATGAGAAGTTTCTTAAGGGATAACCTATTGCTTTATTGTTTCTTCTACATAGTATCGACAAATGACTGGATTTTGGGAATATGACTAAAGATCTGTTCAGACTAAGAATCAGCATCCACTGCCGTCTCCGCCCACAGTCAATCTGGGTAGGATATAAGGATGTCCCATGAATTGTTGGGGTTAATTTTCAAGGCGAAGAGGAAATCAAGATCCTACGTAACTTCTTGACTATGACAGCAATTCATAATCTCTTTGAAGATTTGATGAAAGTAGAAATTAATATACCATTTTAGTAGTTAACAACTTGATTCACTAAATGATATCATAAGAAAGTAGAGCCACATAAAAACTCTATTTCTAGCCTTGGTTGGTTTGGCTCAGCAGTTAGAGCATTGGCCTGTGGACCAATGAGTTGTGGGTTCGATTCTGGTCAAGGGCACGTAACTAGGTTCCAGTTCGTCCCTGGCCCTCGTTGGGGTCATGCAGGAGGCAACCAGTTGATGTGTTTCTCTCACATCAATGTTTCTCTCTCTCTCCCTCTCTCCCTCTCTCCCTCCCTCCCTCCCTCTCTCCCTCCCTCCCTCTCTCCCTCTCTCTCCCTCCCTCCCTCCCATTCCATCTGAAGATAAATGGAAAAAAATCTTCAGGTAAGGATTAAAAAGCAAAACAAAAACAACAACTCTATTTCTAGTCAGTATTTCTTTTATTGATTATATTTGGAGATTTTGAAAAGCTCCTCTATTCCTTAATCTTACTAGCCAAAGATAATCTTTATATTTCTTACAACTGATTCAACCTGAATAAAGTGCAAACCAGGGACAAGTGAAGCTAGAAATCTCTACCTACATGGGAAAGTGTTTAAAGACAAAATATCATTTCAACTCAATTCCTCAGAATATCAGGAAATGTATTTTAATAATACTTCAGAAGAAAAGAGAGCATCACAAAACATTTTAAACTTACCATTATTTACCATATTAATATTAAAATTAATACATAAAAATAATTTCTATGGGGCATTAGAAGTCAAATCAGTTAAGCACAATCTATCAATAACAGAGTAACAAAGATAAAGCACCAATGTTAACAGACTGTAGAGCAGGAAATGAGAATGAACGCAATGGTTTTGCTTTTTTTTTTTTTTAAATAAAAAACCTTTTAAATTGTTAAGTATCACAAAGTATACAAAATTTAAATGTGACATTTAACAAATAATCTGTAAAATGAATAGCTATGTGGGTCAAGAAACAAAACACAGCCAGCATGGCATCTTCCAATCACAACACCTCCTCCACTCACATGTCAGGTAACCTTTATCCTGACTTCCTTACTTTGCTTTATATCAATACTTATCCCTTAATATTATAATCACTTCCTTGTTTTGCTTTACATTAATACTTTCATCCTGTCACGGAATGAACTGTATCTCCCCCAAATATAGATGGTGAAGCCCTAACTTTCAATGTGACTGTATCTAGAGACAGGTAATTAAGGTTAAATAAAATCGTCAGGGTGGGGCTGATAGGATTAGTTGTCTTTATAAGGAGAGATCCTGGAGAGCTGGCTCTCTCTTCGCACACACACAGAGGTCTGGTGGTCTGGTGAACACACACAGGGAGTGGGGGCCACCTACAAGCCAGGAAGAAGTCCTGCCAGAAACTAGCCATGCTGGCTTGCTGATTTTAGACTTCAGACTCCAGGGAAAATCAATGTCTGTTGTTTAAGCAATATAGTCGATGGTTTTGTTACGGCAGTTCCAGCAGACTAATATATATCCCTTATACTATAGCCAATTTTTGTCTGTTAATGAACTTCATATAAATGAAGGCATGCAGTATGTTTTCATGTTTTACTCCCTTGACTCAATATTGTCTATAAGATTCATCCATGTTGATATACATAGCAATAGATTATCTTAGCTATATAGTTTTCCATTGTATGAACATACCTCAACTTATTTTACTGATAGATCTTTGAGTTTTTTCAATCCAGAGATACTATAAACATACTGCTATGAACATTTTTATACACAGCTCTTGGTACATATGTATATGTATTTCTATTGACTAATCAGCTCGAAGTAGAAATGTTGGGTCGTATGGTATCCATATGTTCAGCTTTACTACATAATTCCAAATAGTTTTCCAAATTATGTAGTTGTACCAATTTACCCCCTAACAACAGACATGAGAGTTCATATTGTTACATATCTTCACCACATCTGGTACTGGAAAACTTAGTAATTTTGACTAACCTGGTGTATATTGGTATTCCACTGTGGCTTTACTGTGTGTTTCTGATGACTAATTAGGTTGAATAGCTTTTACTGGACATTTTCTATACCCTCTTAAGTGCTTCTTCAAGTCTCTTGCACATTTTTCTATCTGGCTGCCTGTCTTTTTTCTTACTGATTTGTAGGTGTTGTTTTTATTCCACATACCAGTCCTTCCTTTAACTTGTGGCAGTCCTTGGCTTTCCTGTTCAACTCTTATTATTCTTATTTTTTTCATAATAGAGATAAGTTCTTAAGTTTGATGCAGTTGAGTTTAACAGTTTTTTTTTCTTTTATAGTTACTGTTCTTTGTGCCTGATTCAAGAAATTCTTCTTTATCCTCAAATCATGAAGATACTATACTTTCATTCAAAATGTTTTAGGAATTAGATAATGTTACCTCTTATCTGTTCGACAGTGTGGGCTTAACTTCAGTGTGAGTCTGTTCCTGTGATTTCAGGTATCAGTCAGTTGCCTTTTCCCTTACGTATTACAGTCCTTCTGGATGAGCTGAGTGCACCTTCCCGTCGGGACCTGAGAGTAAAGGTGGGTTTTTGTGGACTCGGTCTCTTTTCCTCTTTGACATTCCTTTTTCATACTAACCTGTTGGATGGCACTGCCTAGATGTTCAAGTTGATCAGGCAGCACCTGTAATTCTGCCTGCATCTCTCTTATTACCAGAGAAAAGGGATTTGAGGGTGAAAACTGTGGAGGACTCTTGTCTTTCTAGCCACATCCTCTTGTTTCCCCTTGGTTATATCTGTCAGCTAAATGCTCAGCCATTTCCGGTAGACCCTTCCTCTGCTCTCAACAAGGACTGATATTTTAGCTGTTTCTTTTTTAGGGTCACAATCATTCGACCTCTAGTAGATCTCCTCCTCTGTTACATAAGTAAGAATGTACTGTTGTTCCCTGAATACTTCGACGGCTTCGATGGGGAATAAAAGACATTATTTGGGAGCAGGGAGTCACAACCTTTTCAGATTACTTTAAAATGCTGGATCGGCAACAACAGATTGCAAAGTGCTCGTAATATGCTTTTCAAATGAATGCAGAGTCTCAGCCTGAATGCAGGAGTCTGCCACCTTGGCATCTTCTCAAGTACAAAGCAGAGATGCTGAATGGACTATGCTTAATAAAGGCCTTATGAGGCATTCATGGGTATTTGTAATAAGATCACTTCCACTGTCATTTGCTCCAGAATAGCAGGGATGACCCAGAATCCTCTAATCAGAGCCGGCTGCCTATATTGCAATGGGCTTATACAAAGGTCATATACAGTTGACCCCGTTCAGTAAAAAATTCACATGTAACTACTGACTCCTCCAAAACTCAGTCATCCTTTGGTATCTGCAGGAGACTGATTCCAGAATCCCTGTGGATGCCAAAATCTGCAGATGTTCACATCCCTATGAAAAATGGTGTAGAACAATGTATACAGTCAGCTCTCTGCATCCAAGGTTTCCCAACTATGGATCAAAAATACTGTTTTTGATCTACGGTTAGTTGAAATCTCAAATGCAAAATGCGGAGTTCACTAATCATTAGCTGTTCCTCCTGTTTTTGCAAATACAATCAAGCTAGTGGGTGTCTGGAGCTCACACAGAAAGTGAATTTTCATCACAGTGTTTAACGTTAGCAGTTTAATTCAGGGCGCTGGCATTCCGCTTGGACACCAAGCAGCATGCTTTAAGAATCTGAGCGGTGGAAATGATGAAAAAACTTAGCATCTGGAGTGCTGCCCCAACTAAGCATTAATTCTACACCTTCAACTTCAGAATGCTTCCACTGTCGTTTGTGTAGTTCAAATATCGTGAGTCCTTTTATTCCTGTAAGTGCTATTGGACTCAACAGAACTTGAGAGATTTCAAATAGGGGTGGATTCATGACAAGCAGGGTTTCTCACTGCCCTGCCGAGGCCTCCCAGCTGGAGAGCTAAGGAGCCACCTTTCCTGCCCCACAGGAAGAGTTCTACCGCAAGGCTGATGGCAGGTTTCTTGACAGCAGCGGCAGTGGCAGCAAAAAAAAAAAGAAAAAAAAGACGGAGAAACTGACTTCTCAGCCAAGCTCAGGCCCACCTGGATCTATATGCCACAGTAAGGTAGCCAGGTGGGTCACAGTCCAGTCACTGCAGGCTCAATGACACCTCTAAAAGCTCTATGGCCTAGTCTTGCACATTTAGGTTCATAATCTACCTGAAGCACACTGTGTGTGTGGTATGAAATATGGGTCTCATTTAACTTTTTCCATAGGGAGACAACTGTCCCAGCACTGCGAAGTGCCGTGCTGCCCTTCCCTGCTTCTCTGCAGTGGTCTTCTGTTGTAAATCCCGCGTGTATGTGAATGTTCCGGGCTCTCGAATCTGTTCTACTGGTCTACCTGTCTACTTCTGTGCCAAGACCACAGGTCTTATTTACCAAAGCTTTATAAGAGACTTTGATATTTGGTAGAGTAAATTAAACCCCATCTTGTTCTTCAGAAATGCCTTGGGGCCCAGCTGGTGTGGCTCAGCAGTTGAGCTTATGCACCAAGAGGTCGCCAGTTTGATTCCCAGTCAGGGCACATGCCTGGGTGGTGAGCTTAATTCCTAGTGGGGGGCGTTAATTCCCAGTGCAGGAGGCAGCCGATCCATGTTGACGTTTTTCCCTCTCTCCCTCTCCTGCTGAAGTCAATAAAAATATATTTGAAAAAATGCCTTGAGTATTTT